GAGTCATTTCGGATATAAGGAGAAGCTTATCAGACATCAAGCCTCTGCACGTGAAAGAACCCAGCACACTTATCTAAAAGAGCAGAAGTGACCAAAGCTCGAGCCGTAGCGAAGCCGCATACATTGCACTACCTCAATGACCGCCTCTACGAGGTAGCTCCTTGAAAGCATTATGATTCACCAAAGTTAAGGATGGTTCCTTTACCTTATGTTGAAGAACATGTCTAAACCGGGGCCCGGCCGGGCTGTTTTGAATAATGAAAGATCAACAATTTTTATCAAGAATATACGCAAATAGTTCCATTATTACTTTTGTCAATTTTTGTGTGTTTTTTGTCTTTTATTCCATATTTTTCGCCCCATAAGACTACCCGGCCGGGCCCCGGTTAGGAAATGTGACTTCAGCATCACTATACTATCTAGGCAAAGCCGTCCACTGATGAAAACTGCTGACAGCCTATGGTCCCCGTAACAAAGATGTACATCAAAGCATGTAAGTCCTAACTGTAAGTGTCACAGGCAGATTTTGTACAAGATTGCAAAGGCCGGAAAATGATGCAATGAGATTAAGTTGTTTTACATACGTACAAGTTTGTGCCGAAAACGTGTATCATACAGCATATAAGTCCTAAATGTAAGGACATGGTCACAGAAGTGTCACTGAGATTGTACCAAAAAAATGATGAAATGAAGAAGATGTACATGAAGCCACGACTGCGATTGTATTTCCGATGTCGTGAGAAAGCCGAGATTGTAATAACGCGATAAATTGGTTGGCTCCTCCCTCCCAATAAGGACAGACAAAACAAAAACAGGCAGGAAGTGTCGTGCGGAGATCGCGGACGTGTTGGTTTCATCAACATCTTCAGGCCACGTCTGATCTCCAAGCATCCCGGCACTTTGGACACGACATTACGACTCAGTGGTGGCAAATCTGTGGTCTTGATTGGCCGTTTTGGTAAAGGCGAAAACCCGATTTTTTAAAGTCAATATTCTTGTCACCTATCTACATGTTTAATTGAAAACACACTATCCTATGTATATTGACCCTCATGCGGAGCAAAAAATACCCAAAAAATCTGACGAAAAATGGTTACTGGAAGGGCCCTTGGCTGATTTTTAGCGTACCGCCCACAAAAGCAAGGCCTCATATCATTGGGGCTTGTTTCTGCAGTTTTAAAAACCCGAATTATGAAATACTGACTGAAATGTACTAATGTGTATGTGTCAATATCACAAAGATTGCCTTAATTAGAATGTTTCCAGTTTTGCTGCTCTGAAATCGCATTGGATGCCTTTGAGTTGGAATCAGAGCTATAGATAGATACATGTATCAACTTTATTGAGCAACAGGTGTTCAAGATGCGAAGTATGCCCTGGTGAGTATTGGAAACATTTCTGTAATGATTCCAAAAAGTAACTTATTTCAAACACACACTCACATACGTGGAAGTGTGTGTGTGTGTGTGCGTGTGCGTGTGTGTGTGTGTGTGTGTGCGTGGAGACAAACTGAGAAAGAGAGTGGGAGAGAGAGGGTGGAGAGGGGAGGAGAGAGATAAAGAGATAAAGAGTGAAATGCAGCAGTCTACAACTTGCAAAAACTTTCACAACTTTCGATTCGTGAGGTAGTCGACGAAACGCAGCTATGGTACTGATCTAGATAGTCCATGTAATGCCAAATAAGTATTTCCTGAATTATTGGGCCTTTCATAGAGCATTAGTGATTATTAGCTATCTAGCTTTAAGAAAAGTAGCTGAGATCTACTCTTAAACCGAACGATTAGACTGTTTAAACGTACTCGGCAGGTGACAAGCCTCATTGTTGGCACTCTGCCTTGTTCTGTCCCGTTTAAATCGCGCAATTTCAACGAAGATAACGATGAAGAATGATCTCTCGGAGTTAAGCTGATTATATACAGGGAGGTGTACTTTGCATGTTAAGTACCGTTATGTTCCTCCGACTTGTAACTTTTACGGTATTAAATTTCTGCGACCAATAGAAGAGAACCCTACTTTTTTCCTACAACTTCCAACATATGACGTATAGTTATTTAGAACTTTTGAATGCAGTGCAGCCGTTAGACAGTTGAAATAAAGTTTCCCTGGTTCATTACAATGTACATTGTACAAGGTCTTGCCATCCACTGCAGAACTTGGTCAAGAGAACGTAGTCTCCACCGGACTACCAAGTAACAACAGTAAAATTTAGCAACATATGGACAAAAATCGTCATCGTAGAGTTCATTTGCCCTCGCTTCGTAGGGGGAAATTGACCTTCCCGTGGGCTGACTTCCCTGGTCAAATTATTCTTCCCTTTTTGCCGAATTCTACGGTCCGTAGGAAGGCCTGGTAGAGGCTATAAAGAAGGTGTGGTTGTTTTCCTTGAAGGTTCTTTCAAGGCTTGACACTAAAAAGTTCCAGGAAGATCTCTGGCGCTAGGACTGAAGGAAAAAAAAACCTAGTAAGTCTCACATGGAGCTCCAGGGGCTAAGTAATAGGTTTAGCAGCCTGGGCGCGGCCGTCCAATTTCGGCTAATTATTACTTTCGTCCCAGGACCCTGCAGATTTCGGACCCCGATGCCCAGGGTACTTGGGGTGGGCCGGTGACAGGTCAGGTCATGATTGACAGCCCTGCAGACGACTTGAAGTTTACCTCACAACTCAGGAAAAGCGATTGTAGATCACGGTGGACATTGAAAATGACACTGAGTGTCTGACGCTGTCTTGTGCGTTTTTATGTTTACCGAATGAAAACATATTGTTTTTGCTACGTTTCTTCTTCTTCTTTTTCTCCAAACAAAGACCTCAATGACCTGAACCAGAAGTCTGTCACCATGGTAACTAGTGTTGGGTTACATCATGTTGCAATTTTATAGCAGGAGGGATTTAGACTCCTGCCTGACCATATACAGTATTTGAATGTGTTTGAGTAAGAATTAACAGAACAGACCATATGCGAAGGTAAACATTATACATTTGCCTTGCAAATGTTACCTTTTTGTATATGTTTGTCAGCTACGAACGGAAGGAAGACCATTAGGGGGAGTGGTACTACCTGTAAGAGCTACATTATTGTAACATTTTGACCCCCAAAAGTCTGTAGGCCATATCCCTTGATTCTAGAACACCCCCTGTTCTTCTTTGACACATTTGGTATGTTTCCAACAAGGGGATCAAAGACAGCATACGAGAACAAAGACTTTCAACAACGGACTGTAACGATAGCAGTAAGGTTTAAATGTCACATGTTAAGTAGATAGACTACATGTGAAGGGTCATTGTATTTCATTCTGTTCTTGTAGTTACCTAAAAATCAGGTCACGGTCCAGATTTGATACATATGCCCCTAGCTGAGTATGTAACAAATCTAAATTTAAAACTGGGGATTATTGAAGACAGAAAAAGTTTAGGATATAGCATTACATGCATGTATTATCCAGGAAGTCAATGGCGTAAAATTCGGCCGTCTCGCTACCAATGACGAGGGAAAAAAAGCTTCCTATAAAACAAAAATCTTAGTGTCATACGTTTTATAGTGAAGACTGAAAAGTGACATTGAGGATAATAGTATTGCGCTAAATTCAGGAAATCAATGACGCAAAATTCGGCCAATAACGAGATAAAAAAGCTTCCTCGGAGGTGAAAGAGATAGGTTGTCCATGCTATCGGTACAGGGCCATGCAGGCCCCCTTGTTTGACCAAAGGTGTGTCCACGTGTGTTGTTGTTTAGTCCCCACCCCTCCCTAACCCCACCCCCTCTCTCGGCTCCAGTTCGTCACCCTTACAGGTGGTGGTCGTTATCACCAATTACCTGCCCATCAGGCCCCGGCGTGGTGCGGCCTCCCTGCCGCCCGGCCGCCGGCATGCTGCCCGATGGACTTCCGGGCGAACTAACGAGCCACAGTCCGTGTTTACCTTACCACAACAATAAGAAACATTTCTCTGGACGTTCTGTAAATAAGAGATCGCGGGGGACGGTGGTCAAGCGGCGAGACCACAGTTCGGTACACCATGTTACATACGGAGTGAAAGGAGCGCCACGGTGTCCGTTTATTTAGACGGACAGCAGTCGACATGTAGCCAACGGAAGAAATGAAATAAAATTGCCATGCAGTTTGTAATAAAATTCTTCAGTTTTAAACTATGATGAAGGGGCTTCGATAAAGGGAAGGATTTTGTATGGTGATATAGTAGCAAAAGGTAGCTTCAGAATGTAACTTAAGATAATGTGCATTTGTTGTAAACTACAGGACTTTGGAATAAGTAACGTTTCAAATTAAAGGTATTTTCAAAATACATGTAATATGTCCGTTGCACTCATTTGAGTTCCTTTTCCTTAGAACAAGTAGTATTAGTTGACCCATCTATTGTTCTGTACGTAGGATACTTTCGTTGTACTCATGTTTATTGTCTGTATATCTACATGTCTTAGACCTTAAGAAAGTCGCTGTACATTTGTTGTGTCAATAAAGTTCTCTTCTCTTTTAATACTACGTCGTTTTGCATCTGGTCACTAGACAGAAAGAATATTGAAAATCGCGGCATGACCATAACCCAAACAAACCTTGGTTAGAATTAAATGATAGACAGTTGTAATTGAAAGTTCTTGTTGTAAGTCAATTTGGGAACACCTTTCCAACATCGGACACAGCCTGACCCTAATGTCTGCATCCTCCCACAGGCCGTCGCCCGATTCTATTCATTAACTTTTCATACATCATTAGGCACGGGCTGGGGCGATGTCTGCACTTCAAATCAACATTGACCTTCGCCACTTTGATCGTACCAGTCACCCAGATGTTACACACATGTCAAACTTTCTTATCTAAAAAAGAAAACTTAAAATTCGAAGTCAAGTTATTATCTTGTAATTTTTGGTATGATATTGATAATAGCCATCATTTGTGATCTCCCAGTCAATATTTTTTCGCATTTGGGCCACTAAAGAACCACCTGCTGCAACGCAAACAAATGTCGCTGCAGGACGCTGCTGAGTAGTGTTGTCTACTATCCCGCAAGGAGAGTTCTGGGATATGTCATATGACCAAAATGGCGGCATCTTCAACTGCAGGTTTGTGAAAGTGTATCGAAAAACATCTCCTTTTTTGCGTACTTCGTGATCGCTGTGGTGTTTTAAACTTATTTGTTGATTTGCAGAAGTTGCGGGGGACATGAGTGAAGAAGCGCACGCGGAATACGCCGTCCAGTACTTCGGGTTCACGCCACAGTCGTTCGCGGATGGAGGTAAGTGGGGAGGGGGGCGACTTAAAAAGATTTACTTTGTTGACAATTTACGGCGCGGCGTCATGGTTTATATTAAAGAAGATAACTCGTCAACGAAAACATAAACACACAAAGCAACAAATTAATCACTTACAGTACAGCCTTACTGTTTTGCCTAGGTTTGGAATGGCGTTCAACAATCGACAAATTATTATTTTTTTACCTGTTCATAATTTTTGATGAAAAACGCCAGTTTTGACGCACAGTATTTGCCAGTGGGTCTGAAACTACCGCCGCTGTTTGTCTCACCCATGAACAAAATTTCACCGCTCAGAAATCCCACACACTTCTCAAATATACCCTGAAAGCTCTACAAACAAAATCTGACAGGAACTTCTCACCTGTTCCTTCAAAATTGGCGCTGTAGAAGTCTTGGGCGAGTTGGACCGTGGGAGACAGCTGTCACTCACGGCAGCCATTTTTATTATAATTTATGTCATGCTTAGTCACAAAGCACGCTGGGAAAATAATATACCGGGACCTTCTGAAGAAATTACAACATGAAGATATATTTGTGGAATATACACATGTAATTTACAACATAATCCAGCTGACATAACTGATATTTTTCTTTGCTTTCATTGAATAAAACCCATGTTTTGTCCTACTAAATTTTTTTTATATAAAAACTTGCACATAAAATGTATGAGGCCTAGGAAAAAGATGTTGTATTTTCTGTTTCAGTCCTGAAAAAAATTACGGTCGGTAGGATTATCTTTTTTCTTCAGTGATCTAGATTTGGGTCCAACTTACTAGTATATACATATACAATACAGTTTAACAAAGTAAAAAAATTGCACGAGGACATTGGTCTTTTCAATGTCAATGTTAAAAAAACAATTGTACAATGTTTTATCACTCAGGTGCCAGATCATGGAGCTAGAAAAGGTTGATCAGCTCGAAAAATTGTCCCTTGCTGGGGTTCACCCCCCAAAAATGTCTAGGTTCGGGAAACAGGAAAGCAACAGATTTTTTCCTAGGCCTGACTTGTAATTAGTGGTGCATACCTAAACCCAATTTTAGGTTCAGGTCCGGATTCAAGTCCAGAGGTTTAGGTTCAGTTCCGGACTTGTAAGTCCGGACCTAAACCCATGGCATATACAAAATTGCATTGTTGGCAACCTTGCTGGGTTGTCTGGGTTAAAATTTGGCCACATAACATGGAAGCCGGTACTTGACGATGCCCGATGGCAATGTTTTCTTCATTTTGCAGCAAAGATTTTGCAATCTACGGAAGGTTTTAGGTGGTTTGGAAAGAAAGGGGTTGCGTGAAATGGTCTTTTATGGTAATAAGTCCGGACTCGGTTCTTGACTTTTAGGTTTTTTTGGACTTGAACCTAAACATTCTTACAAGTCCGGATCCAAGTCCAGTGAACCGGTATGCACCCCTACTTGTAATATTATATGAAATTTATGACTTGTTCAACAAGTTGTTGACAATGTTTTAATGTGTTGTTCCAGTATTTAATGTGATGGTGGACAACCTGTATGACACCATGGACGCTGCTGAGCACTACTTGGTGTCTAGGGTCAGACAACAATTTTTTTTTTTTTGCTTTTAAAACTTGTTTTGTCTTTGTACATGAATAACATTATATTTTGCTGTAATGTGTGTGATGTCTTTTTGGTCTTCATCAGAAAGCAATGTCTACCTAGACATTGTGTTAGAGTGAGCCACCCAGGCTAAGGAAAACAGAAATGTATGATCAGATAAACATCAAGTCAGGGATTATCGCAAAAATCTGCTTGTTGTTACTAAATCTGATTTGTTACTGTCATATTTCTCAGCCATGATGTCAATGATGTAGATAAACATAAACATCTCTATTGCCCTTTTTTATGTTCCTGCTTGTCTACTTTGGCAAAACATCATATGAACAAATTATAAAATTACCTCTACTTGTATGTTTATCCCTCTGTTGATACAAATTCATATTGTTATTCATATAGTGTTATACATGTTCAATGAATGAAGTCTTGACAGAAGGTCCAGAAACTGACTGTTGCACCGTTTGAATTACAGAACAGGGACGTCCCAAAAGAGGAAGTCAAGGCTGTAAGTATCACAGTAATGACAAGATTACTTCTATGATTTTTTATCAATATCAAATCATATTTTTATCTTCTGCTGTCACTGCTTGAGAGAGTATCCAGGTGAAGAAATGATATCTAAATACTGTTTTGGTCTTTTATTTGTCTAAGGGGCATAGAGTGATTATTATGTTTACCGAAGGAAAACATATTGTTTTTACTCAATTTCCTCTTCTTCTTCTCCAAACACTAACCTCTCACCTGGCCAATGACATGATTTGTTGATGTCTGTCACCATGGTGACTGGTGTTGGGTTACATAATGTTGCAAACTTCATGGTCTGCTCTGCTCCTGTCACCATATACTAGTAGTACATGTATGTGAATATGTTTGAGTAAAAATTAACAGGGCAGACCATGTCCGAAGGTAAACATTATGCATTTGCTTTGCAAATGTTACTTCTCTAGTTACTAATACCTTCTTCTTTTCACAGGGTACACAAGAAGTCATTCTGAAATTTCTCCAGGCATTTAAGAAAGCTTTTGACAAGTTGGAGGTAACTTAGTTTTCAGAGGCTGTTCATAATACATTAGGCTTGTATGATACAAGTAATTTTCACAGGGAACTGATTTTGTGGATGGTGGAAAATTGAAGTTTTTGTGGTAGAAACAATTTTCTAATAGTCATGCATCATAAACATTTTGCAGAAGATATGTCACTCCAAAAATAAAACCACCACAAGCATAAAACTACCACAAACAATTCAAGTTTTCTTTTTAAACTGTAGACTTTGTAGTGTGATATTCAATCTATCTAGCGTGTGGCTGCAAAATAACAAAAATTCTAGCTTACAGTCACACAATGACATTGAGTATCTTCTTCCTTCCAGTTATACCTTCTGTCCAACCTGTTCCACCTACCTAACTATGTGCTGTTACCAGAGGACAAGGTATGTACAGCAAAACAACTCAGTAAAACACGTACCAGGGTCATATGCTTCTTGTATCTGAGAAATGTTGAGCTGTGAAGGTACGTCTACCTGCACTAGTCTGTGTCCTGGGTAGGTCTATGTGTACATGTATGTGGATTTCGTACTGTTACCACCTGTGAAATGCCTAGCAAAGAATTGGAATGGTTACAACTTACTGGTGCTTAACACTGATTCTAATTTGATGCATACTTCATGTGAAGGTGTAATCTGTCTGGTGCAGGTACGTAGTTTTGTATTTTGACTGCATCCATACGTTCATGCTGAAAAATCACAAGGTCTGGGTGTTAATGTAACTAATATGGCATATACAAGACACATCAAGCACCCCTTGGTACATGGTTGAATGGTTTGTCCTGTTGTTAAACCAGGTTCAGATGGAACAGTACACTCCAGAGGAGGAGGCACAGCTAGATGAGGAGCTGGATGTTCTCAGACAGAAAATAAGAAATGTGAGTAAAAAAAGCTGACAATTCCTTTCTTTACTCTTCATCTAGAAAAATCATTCTGCTTACGTGACAATAATTACCGATAATTGGATATCACTGGAAAATGGATATTGAGTTCTGACTTTTCAGAGTCAACAAGAATCATGAGTGTGAACCTCCACCATGGTAGCATTTTTCCTAATCAGGGATTGGATCATCTGAGTACATTTCCTAACAAAGTGCTGCTAGAAGAATATCAAACACCTGATAAGTTGTAAATTTGGAAACCTATCGAAAAATTTTTATCAATTTTTTGGTCTTCTTTGTACTTTTTATTCCTTCCTTAACTGCTGTCTTCTTTTGATTATACTGTACAAAACAGAAAATTAAAGAACTTTAATCTGTCTACAAGTAGACACATGTATTTATGTCTAGTAAATACTACCACTATGTATTACCAAAAGATCCTGTTAAAAATTTGGGAATTGTTTGACCTGTCGGCAGACAGTGTATGTGAACACCTGTCTGAAGCAGGAGCTGGAGGATCTTGGGAAGGTGCAGCTGCAGCTGGAGCGGCTGCTGGTGCAGGTGGCTGAGATAGAGAGGACCTGCAGTGATGCTGGTGGTAGGCAGGGGGCCTCGCACTCATGGCATTCTAAACTGTTGTACAGTAGCTAATGTCGCACTCTTGTTGTGGTCCTTTGTATTTGTTAACTCACAGTAAATGTACACTTAATTAATGCTCAATAAATATCAGACATCCAGGAAAAATGTAAAGAAAATCTTGCTTCAAAAAGAAAAGACTTGTACTTGATGCAAGCACGTCTAGCTCCCAGTTTCGGGGAAAAAAGACGTTAAACTGGATAGTGAGAGAGAGAGAGAGTGGAGAGAGTGGGGTAGAACATTACAATGAACTATGTCGGTGAAGGTTAGACATCCAGGTAATGAGATACACAAGAAAACTGTTACTCAAAGTCAAACTATCAGACATTACAAGAAGCAGCCAGTACTTTTCATCAGTAGTTTTCTTATGTATTACAATCTACTAAGCTGGATAGATTTTGATAACATCCACAATACTTCACCAGCCAAAGTTTGTATTTAGGATCCCATTTTGATATAGCTTATGGCTGTCCTCAATGAATTCTGCAACATTTTGTACCAATATTATGTTACAAAGTAAAGTAGGTCTTGGTAGGTAGATGATTAAACTACATTCTGCAATGATTGTCTTTTTTTCCAGTGCATGAGCTGAAAGAAGCTATCGTGTTTCGGAGCAGTAAAGTGACGTCATTGGTGGACATGCTGACGTCTATCATGGCACATGGTGGGGACACAGAACACACACAGGTAGGCAGATTCAGATTTTATTACCAATGACATAGCAGGTACAATATAAAATCAACACCTGAATTGCATCATTGCTTACAGATCGCCTTTAAAATCCAAGTATAAAATTCATAATACATGATAAAATACAATTCTAAAAGTCATATCAGGAATAAGATGTAAAGGGATATCAGGTAACCTATTTACAAAATTTTTCTGGTGAGAGTAGCAGACATGTACAGTAGGCAGATTCTTTTATATCAGTCTTTCTTCTGCATAAAAACTTCATTGTTGCTGGAGATTTGTTTGACTGTGTTGGGCTCTATAGCTGGCAGGGTGGCAAACTTTTTTATCTGTTTGTTTGGCGAAGTTTGTACTGATTTCTACTGGTTGCTATCTTGTTCTGATCGGTCTTGTTTTCTACAACCTTACCTTAGAATACCAGCATGTGCTATAGAGGTTAGGCTGCTATATCTATAATTAGTTTAATTAGTTGACCATTGTAACTCGCAGGTTTTAGTGAGTACGGTAATGTTTACAGTTTCATCTTGAATCTTTACATCAGATCTGCTATAGTTGTGAATTATGTGAAGTTGGGCAAAAAGAGCACATCCCAAAATATCTCCTTTTTTTCTTATAGATGTATGCCTTAGAAGTATTCTTGTGACAGTTGACCAATAGTTATAACTAGTGCTACATACCTAAACCCACATTTAGGTTCAGGTCCGGATTCAAGTCCAGAGGTTTAGGTTCAGTTCCGGACTCGTAAGTCCGGACCTAAACCCATGGCATAGGTCTTTTATGGTAATAAGTCCGGACTCGGTTCTTGACTTTTAGGTTTTTTTGGACTTGAACCTAAACATTCTTACAAGTCCGGATCCAAGTCCAGTGAAGCGGTACGCAGCACTAGTTATAACATGTTCAAGCAAATACGACAGTTCCTTGTACATGTCCTGGTATGTTCATGATAACCTCATAGGTGTTGTTTGTTCCACAGGAACAACTGACAGACCTGCAGGAGAAAATAACTAGGATTTCCTGAACCAAAGTCTCAAGAAGACTCTAGAGGACATTCCATACCTGTTACCTAAGCTATTGTATATTGTATCTGTTGTAAGACAAACCATGCAGAGATGTTGAATGTATGCTAGCATCTTGAGCCTTACGTCTGTTGTAGAACATTACCAGTAACTGTGTAAGGCAAGTGTGGGGATAAATAAGTACATGGACCACTAAAAGTACCTGCAAAACTCCAATTTTACCAGTACTAACCTGTATGTTTGATATTTTGGGACCTGATATTGTATCTTAGTGTCCTGTTGTATTCATTTTTGGAAATCACAACATGTATTGCTTAGAGGTGTATGTACATGTATACTACATGTAGAAGAATGCAAAACTTTATAGCATTTCTTTCCTAGGTTACCTTTTAGATATAGATTATGATCACTCAGTGACCATACTGTGACCAAAATTTTTGTGTGACTCTTGTCCGCTTCATTATTTTATGGATATAACTTTTACTAGCATAGAGCCATTTTATGTTTGTTTGCTGTTGTGGGTCTGATATTGAATCTGGGAGCATAAACAAGGACAAAAGATGTATACAAATGCTTAAAACATTGTAGAAAAAGTATGAAGTTTATAGTAAGGTGCCTGGTTTGACTTGCGCATGAATTTCCATGTATTAAAGATGTGTGGACTGCGTACAGAGAAGTCAGGTCATAATTGATTCAAAGAGACACTCTCTAAGAGCTGACCTGTTTCCTCAATAACAAGGTACTTTCTATAGTTTTGTGAAGGATTTGTCTCTTGAAAGGGCCACAAAAAGCCACATTGAGGTGTCTATAAGATGTCATCCACAAAAGCCAGTGTGACCATGGGCATTACAAATAGGGAATGTCCTCGATGAAAATCATTATTTCAGAGGTCAGGCCACTTAGTCCACTTGCACTCCCAATTCAATTCCTTTGTTCAAATTTTTGTGGAGGAAAATGGTGGACAAGGGACTAGAAAGAGAAACAGACTTGCAGTGATAGACCCAAATGGTATCATAGGATCCACAAAGTCAACATGTAGTAGTAGTAGTAGTAGTAAGCCTTATGTAAACTCGAAAGCTTGTTCGGTACATATGACAGCTTTTCAAGAAGGTCGACGGTGAGCGAGGGCCTACCAGATACCAGATTGGTTAACGTTTCAATGACACCTACACTTAAAATACGGTGATAAATTGAAAAACTGTAACAATTAGGAAAAATACAATAATAGAAAGGCATAAAAAATGTTACAAAGCAGGCCTGAAACACTAAGCCCGACCCTTAACATCTGCTTAAAGTTGATCTTGTCCAACAACATTTGATGTGGGCACTGGTAACTATGGGAACTGGCAATGCCCTGAGGATAAGTACAATGTAACTATCTTACCAGCAACAAAGGCTGAGTTTCTACAGTTTGCCTGGAACTCAATAGTAAGCATGATGTTTGGACGTCCGTTTCAAGGTTGTGAACAGCGTCTAGTAGTCGACCACACGGTGTACTGTTCATACTGTCATAGCTGAGCAGTTTACAACAGTACATGTACATGGGAAGATCAACTCGTCTGTACAAGCCAGACAACAGGAGACTATACGTACGTACGTATGACTACTGTTTTTTTTTTATTCCAACATTTAATCACCAGACGTGGTGACGACACACTCAACATTAAATTGCAAGTTTCTTCAACTTATATTAATGCCGCCACCAACACAGGGGACAAATACATGACAGGACAATACTCATTTACACCTGAGCTAAGTGAGGAAAGTCGTGCCTTTCCCAAGGGCACAAGATCGGTGGCATGTCAGGACTCGAACCCGGGACTCTTAGTTCCGAGTCGCGCACTCTGCCGCTATGCCACAATGTGAAATAATATTAATAGCATGTTTTGTTTCTGGCGGGTCTAAGTCTACAGCTGTTTGTGACAACAAAACTATACCACCCTACTAGATATTTAGATCTGTAAATGCCCTCAGGGTTGGGATATCTGGTTTAGAGGGGGTCATCCCAAGGCATTGTGGGGAGAGAAAATATGATGATATCTCACCAAAAGTTGCTCGTGCGTCGTGAGAACAAGACATACTGAGATTGTTACGATGTTCCCTTCAAATATTTACTGAAAGACAACCCTTAAGGTGCGGGAAAGGACACCGATAGGGGAGGGGGGTTGGTAGGCGACGTCATGACAAGCGTGACGTCTTCACTCTGAGTCTGAACTGACCAAACTGGTTTCTATTAAAGCTCGCGCTGTTGATAAAGCTAAAAGTTTTCCTGTCCATATATTTCGTCCACTGGCCTGTTTCATAGTCCTAGATTAGGAATGTTTATTTTATACGGTTTATCATTTGTAATGATTTACATGTACAGTCCCTTCACTGGTGACGAAACAACATGACCAGACGACGTCGAGATTGCGCCCTGCTGTTATTCTCACTAGCAGGTCTTTTCCTGCTGTATTACACATCGGAACATGTGATTCCTGGCTACAAAACACTGGAAAACCGAGTTTATCTGAGTACACCGAGATCTGAAGCATTGACAGCCTCATCAGTGGAAGAACCGATAACTGAGGATCGGGAAACAAGGTACACAGGAACCAGTGGCATCATGTTTTGCTTGTGAATGTAAAAAAAAACCCTTCACGATTAACGTTAAGTGTCCTGGAGGTTTTTTTTTTAATTTCAAGATAAGGAATCAAAGTCACGATATCTGACTGATGACGATGGTAGAATTTATCAAAGTTGGTTTCTAGTGTGTACCGCGGTGTTCAGTATACTGAACTATGCTTCATAGATGATACATTGTAGATAAAAACTGTTTCTGTAAATAAAATGTCGTTTTCTAGCTCTCCTATCGAGCTTGATGAAGCAGAGCATGCATATGACCACAATGAAGGGCTCGGCAGCGTTATTGGTCCTTCGGGAGGACTGACAAATTCACCAGGAAAGGCGAAAGCTACAGAAACAAGGTGCGCAGATGTAAAATAACATAACAACCTAACCTAACATGACATGACATAACATAAGATCACATGACATAGCATAACATAAACTGTGCCACTATGTAAAGTTCATCAAATACGAATGATTATGGGTTAGAATTGATTTGTAAACGGTATGAACCGGTATGAATGTATATGATACTGGTATTAATGTTCGTTTGTTTCCCAAGTCGATTCCAGAAGTTCATGGCTCAGTACATACCGGAGGAATCAGTTGCTAAGGAGAAGTTCCTTGCCGACCAGGCAGCTGTGCAGTCTGTACCGACGGAAGCACCTGGATGGGTCTATAACAAAACAGCTGCGGACATGTTTCGGTAAGAATCATATTCAAGATACTACATCTACATCAGTGACGTAGAGGTCAATTTTTGAACTTGACCTTGGTCTCCCCAACGGTAACCTGCCTGCTAAAAAACATGAACATCTAACCATGCCTTCAAGAGTTATGCCGCATAGTCTCCCACTCTACAGAAAAGTGATTTCATAGCCTTCTGACGAAGGCAATGACAACTATTTCTTTTTACTTCACAGAAAAAGAGTGGTAGGGGACAGTCGCTTTGCGAACGGGGATTTTCTCGTCACACAAGAGATGGTTGAGAAGTACGGCTTAACGACGGATGGTGCAAAACCAGTGAAAATCGACGTGCCAACCGAAGTCTTGAAGGGATTTCCTACAGTAGGTTCTTCATTCTGTCAAGGCAATCTTCAGTTCAAGGAATTTGTGTCTAATCTTCGTGGATAAGTTTATTATACAGCGGCACTTAGCATTTTTACAGGAAGGCCTTTAGTCTCTCTTAAGCCTACCCTCTTAAGGGTAATACTGTTTCAATACCATACGTTTGAATCTTGTTTGGTTGGCGGAAAAAATACGAGTGCAAAAAATGCCTAAAAACACGCCAAAAATAAGCCAAAACCCAAACTTCTGCTTAAGCCCTGAATAAGCTCTCACTACAGAAATTATTCAATTACTCGTATGCACTCGTTCGCAACATGTTACATACCGACGCAAGTAAGTTTTCAAGTTCTTGAACTACATCTTTTCTACACAGGAAAGCCCGTTTAAGAACAAACACTTCAGTACGTGCAGTGTGGTGGGAAACGGTGGAATACTGAAGGGAAGCGGCTGTGGAAAAAAGATAGACGCCTCTGAGTTTGTGTTCAGGTTAGGCATCTGATATCAATAACATGTACAAACTAGAAAGGTAACATTTGCAAAGCAAATTCATAATGTTTACCTTCGCATGGTCTGCTCTGTTAATTCTTACTCAAACACATTCATATATATGGTGACAGGAGTCTAAATCCCCCTGCTATAAAATTGTAACCCAACACTTGTTACCATGGTAATAGAAGTCTTAATCAAGTCAATGACCTTATTTGTTTAGAGAAGAAACTGAGTAAAAACAATGTTTTTCTTCGGTAAACATAATTAAGTACTGGTTGATCTGAAGACGCCTAATAGATCTGTATACCTTCTTTATAATGCAACTACTAAAAGTGATAACTAGCGTATAATATTCTTTTTTTTTGCGCATAACACACAGGTTCAACATGGCTCCAATGGGCGATACATATATGGAAGACATTGGAAACAAAACCAATCTGATCACCATGAACCCCTCCATGATCAAATACAGGTACTTTTATGTTTAAGGTCAGAACATTCGTCAGTATGGCCTTCTTCCCACCAGGATAAAATTGTCCGGATCGAGCCGAATTGATTCCGTTTGATCCGGCTTCGATCCGGCTCGGAGCCGGATCAAACCGAATCAATTTGGCTCGATCCAGACAATTTTACCCTAGTGGGAATGAGGACTATATGTCCTTCTGGAGATACCTTTCATGTGTAATCGTCTTTATGATACAAGACAATGAGGTCTTATATATAATTTTGAAAGCTGAATAACTTGAACACGGTTTATCCTCTTTTATTTAACTTCATGTAGATACGAGACAGACACAAGAAGAGAAATAGACGTTAAAGCCTTACTGCATGACCTATCAGCGTACGGAGACAGCTATCTGTGGATCTGGGCCTTTCTCTCCCAACGTCACGCCAGAAGCGCCGTCAACGTACAGCGAGCTCTGCTCGGAACCGGCGTCCCTAACCAGGTTATCTTCCCATATCCACTCGTGACAGGGTCCATTACAACATTCTGGACAAAGAATGGCGTAGAGGCTCGGAGGTCGTCCACAGGTAGACATATCCTATTACTTATACTATATCACGTATTTATGTCTACCGAAGGAAAGCATTGTTTTTGCTCTGTTTCCTCTTCTTCTCCAAACAAATAAGGTCAATGACCTGAGCCAGACGTCTGTCACCATAGTAACTAGTGTTGGGTTACATCATGTTGCAATTTTATAGCAGGAGGGATTTAGACTCCTGTCTGACCGTATATATGAATGTGTTTGAGTAAGAATCAACAGAGCAGACCACATGGGGAGGTAAACATTATGCATTTGCTTTGCAAATGCTACCTTTCTAGGTTTCTCTAATATAGTTTCATTTTTCGTGACATCCATGTCTACGTATCTCGCTCTATTAAACACGTACTTCCCTTTCTACCTTAATGATTCGTTAGGACTGCTGCTTGTGAGTTTGGCCACACAGATGTGTGAGGAGGTGCGCTTGTACGGCTTCTGGCCCTTCCACGCGGACAGAAACAACAGACGCCTGACTGAGCACTACTATGACAATGCCCTCCCTAAAGAAGCTCACAGCATACCGGATGAGTTCAGACAACTACAGTTACTACACAACACTGGAGTTGTCCGTCTGACAACCCACCCATGTCAATAAGTGGACATTGTCAATGATTTAATACATACTAGTACTAGCAGTAGACAGTTGAACTTTGTTCTAAATTATCTATGGCATTTTGGCCATCTAGTCTCTAATGTTATCTAAACGTTGCCTATCTGCTGATTTATCTACGTTTTAAAACTTATCTATGAACACTAGTACTAATAAACAATCTTTTTTACATTTGCAAGTGTACAATAAAACTCAGTCTATTGGCAATGTGTTTGGTACCGGTGTTCAATGAATAGATAGGGGTATAGTGCATAAAATACACGTACCGAAGTTCTTGACTAATTTTATAAGGTTATTGACTTGATAGGTTCTCCGTTATTTTTGTCTCGATTCGATCGAATACACGACAGGCGGCCTATATTGTACCTAGCGAAAGGCACGATTTCAGTACAAAAACCTCACATAGCGCAGACGTGATAGGAATTTTTCTCACACACAAAATCCTACGTTACCTTTGTTACTGGTAACACCAGTTATGCTCAGGCGAATAATTACACATCGCCAGGTAGCTTCCAAGTCATTCGGCATCGAAAGTTGTCGGACGAGGTGCAATGACATTATATCCGCCAGGCGGCGCTGCTAGCCTATTATTTGTTTCGTCAGCTGGGAAAGTTGAGGTCATCTACAGGTCACCGACTGCGCCACGATCACGCGTCTTCCTTGTTGTCAGTCACAGTGTTCTGGGTGCTGGGAGCCTACAGCTTCTTTAAGTTCATCTTGCCTGGTGTTGTGAATCTAAACCTTCTAAAGTTGAAACTACGCGCTCGAAAATGGCGTAAAGACTTCCAAGAACCTGGCAGAAGGCGGAAGTAGCGACCGTCAGTTCCAGTTTTCAGGTAAATATTATTGCACTGCGAAACTTTCGATTGAACTATTGCATTCAGACATTTGTACAGTGGATATACTAGACCGTTTACCAACGGTATTCAGGTTTGTAGTATCCGTTATCATATACTGTGTTGATTTTCGGCAGGCGTTTGACAGAAGTATATAACGTAAATTATGGTTTACAATATGTTTCATATTTAAGACAATTCTATTAAGAGTAATCTTTGTCGAGTCATACCCCTTATTTCTAATACATGACCTTTTCAGAGACAGTTTAGTGAGCTCCAAACGTTTCAACGTGAACGTTGTATTTTGTATGGGTGATTCCACCTCACTCAAGAAACTATTCTACTAGAATAGAATAGAAGAGAAGAGAAGAGAATATATCAAGGACGTTAATTAAAATCGTTATGTAGAATCTCTGATTATGTACCGTAGAATCATAATGTGATAAGTTATATTTTGTAATGTATAGTTGGCAGACTCTGGAATATCGAATACATATCTGTAAATAGAGGATCTTTTGAATGTGTTGACCCTTGACCTCCTGTTACTGCAGTCCCTATCAGGGAAAGCAGGTTAAATACTTGGTTAATGTTAATAATAATAATAATTGTTTATTGATTGATCGAAGATAAAAGAGTACAATCGCTAGCATGTTGCAGCGCAACTAATAAGTAGTGCTGAATTATATGCTAGTTTAAAAACAGAGATACAAATATTGGACAGTTAACAAATACACAACTAGACAAGTGAGTATTTAACATGTAGACAACTAAATATTAAGCGAGTAAAATGAACTTAACAATATTTACAATATCAACATCATCAGTGTAAAAATTATTAATTTTATAGTATGTTACGTGATAACTGATCTTGGGTGGGCCGGTCATGGGAGATTTACTATGTGCCATATTTGTTTAATAGACTTGTAAGATAGGGGATCGGGCTATTTTTGTATCGATTTGTTCTCGGGAGGGGGGCAAGGAGCTGGTTAAACTGTTTACATTTTCTAACGTGGATCGTCTCTCGGCATTGTGGGAGCCAGGGTCTAAAGGGAGAGTTAAAAAGGGATCTGGCAAATTTCAAACTTAGGTCCTCCCTCCTCTTTTCAAGGGAGGGGAGACCTAGGTTGGATAAGGCGTCGTTATAGCATGTGTACTCAGGACCAAGGGTTATCCGTAATGCACGTTTCTGAATGCGTTCAATCTTCCTGGTTTGTAGGGCCGTAATGCCAGAGGTCCAGATGGGTGCTGCATATTCAAGAATGGGGCGTATATACATTTGGTAAAAATCGATTAGGTCATTTGAAGGGAGCCCAAAACGTTTCAATTTCTTTAGTAGGAAGAGTCGGGAACTAGCTTTGCTTATAATGGATTCAACGTGCTTGTCCCATTTCAAATTGTGGGATAGCCATAGGCCGAGAATACATGCGTCATCTGTATATTCTAGTGGCTTATCATTGACGGAAATTAATAGTGAGATGATCCAAAATTGCACAATAGCTTTCCTGAATTTGTATGTTACATGTAGGTATTGTACTGGTCGTCCTGAATGTAGCATAAATTGTCATTGAGACCACCTCACATATTTTAATTAGAGGCGACAAGGTATACTCCTGTTGAAGGTGAATTGAAAATAGGGTATGCAGTCTAATTAAAGATGATTGATTACCCTCCATGAAAATGGGGGTACTGTTTTTACTCCGTTTCATGTTTGGTCTGATATCTGAAGATCGGTGAGAAGGAACTGTACGATATTTGGCAGATTGATGGATGGGGCCTTGGAGATTGTGTAGGTTGACTTTGAGCCCCTGGTGATTGACCTTGGTACTGCAGTTTAATTTTTTTATTCTGTTGTTTTCGCGTTATGGACTGTTTGTGCGATATTAAGGTAGCATGTAGTTGTTATTACCATGGTTTAGTGGTTTAAATTTGGGTCCCCTAGCTGTTTGCGTTTGATATTTACAAAATGTTTAATGTTGGACTTTTTGTGTTGAATGTTTGGAAAATCTAGGGGATGGTTTGGTATGATTTTTGGTATGTGGGTAGTTGTTGAGTCTCTTTGTGTTTTGGAGTGCATTAGCAGGTTGTCGCATATTTTTATTGCTTGATTTAAAAGGATTTTCACTTTTTCACCCCTACTTCATAATAGGATGGTCTGTTTGACCCAAAAGTTGGGACAGAGTGTTTTTGTTTATACCTCCAGCTGGCAGGTCAGACCCAGGCAGCCCTATCTATTTTTACGCCTATAGAGTCTGCAGGAAAATAAATCTTGTTTGTCTGGTCTGCAGGTCATTTGTCTGGTCATTGACCTACATGTACAGGCAAATGTAGCCTGGGTACCATCCCCAGTAGTATATTCGCAAACTCTATAACAGTTTGACTCATAATATCTCTATTGAAATACACCAAAAGATTACAAAATAACAAGCTATTTCATGGAGGGATGATGTCTACGACTTCTCCTTGTTGATTCTTTGATTAAACACACAAGGAGAGAGTAACTCGAGCAACTGAAAATCTTTCTAGTTTCCAGAGTAACACTTTCTTTATATGTATCACATTTAATACCTGGATGTAATTCAAAGTGAATGTTTTTTTTTTGTCTACAGGGCTAGCTGGTATCTTTGAGACATGATTGGCAGAAGCAGAAAGGTGCAGTACCTGGACCAGCCTCCAGATGGCGGTTGGGGCTGGATGGTGGTGTTCAGCAGTTTCCTGGTCCATGTGGTGGTGATCGGGTCCATCAAGTCGTTTGGCGTGTTCTACGCCGTGTTCCGGGAAGTGTTTGACGAGGGCGCGGGAGACACGGCCTTCATCAACTCCACACTGGTGGGGATGATGCTGATCTGCTGTAAGGACACATTCTGAGGTTTCATTAGGTAGTTTTATAGCCTCTACCAGGCACAGCAGATCGCTGGAAAAATAGTAGAAATTGGCCGAAATAAAGGGATAGTATACCAGAGAAGATCC